ATGAACATGGTAATAGAGACATAAAGAAAAAAAATTTTGTCTCAGTGTCAAATACAGGGATATAAGATCTTCTTTTGGTGTCTGGAATGCATAATGTAGGCCAAACAATGTCCTCAATTACAATTCACTCCCACTATAACTGCAGGCATCATTTTAAACTAAATATATGATGATCAGGCATTTTAAGTGACTGTGTTAGAGCAGTTTAGGTCTATCTGAACCAGAAGTTACTGTTCCCTCTGTTTAGACTGAGCAATTCACTGGGACTGTGATGCTGTTGTGATGCTGAGTAAAAAGCAGTTTCCTAAATTGCTCCTCTGTGGTTATTTGTGACTGTCTAAACATATTAGAATCCTGATCTACTTTTATAGAAAAAAAAGGTGAAGTCATCTCAGTGTAAACCCACGCGCTCACCATCAAATCTGTATGATTTTTCCTGCCTATACCTGCCATGAATGTAGCTTACTCTTCCTCTTCATAAAATACTTGTCATGTCAAAAGCCAATGTCAATGTTATAGAATCATAGAATCATAGAATCATAGAATCATTAAGGTTGGAAAAGACCTCTAAGATCATCAAGTCCAACCGTTAACCCAACACCACCATGCCCACTAAACCATGTCCCTAAGCGCCTCGTCTACACGTCTTTTAAATACCTCCAGGGATGGTGACTTTATCTTGCCCTTTACGTCACAGAATTGCAAACTTAGAGAGGAGAACAGAATAGTACTATAAATCTCTTATTTCCTCCTTGGACTACCACTTTTATAAGTTTTACATACTTTAATAGTGTTTTAACTGAGATTACTTTCATGTAATTGCTAAACAGAATTAATGTAATTAATACTAGCTATCATACAGTAATCAGCATCTTACAAACATTTGAAAACGGAATTAAATTATCTAATTAACCTTAAAATTAACTGCTATAAAAAAATTCAACAGTAGCCCTGTCACTTTTGGCTATCCTGAACTATAACATTGCTTAACTGTACATTCTCAGAAATTTTCACAACACCAGTATCTACTATGCTAAAGCCAAAAGGCTAATTATTGCTTCATCTCCTGCTTTGAAACAGAAATAAATGGAAAAGGAATAGGGAAATGATAAAATTAGAAATGCAAATACCAAATAATTTATTGTATTGAAAATACACAAGAAATTGGCAATGAAGCCCAGAAGTCCTTGAGTTGGTTCAGGCAGCTGAAATAAACCCAATTACCTGGAGATGGTGCTAAAGCATCCAACAAGGGAAAAAAAACCCTGAAGATCTAAAGGGACAAAGAACAAAACAACTCGTTCGGTACTTTGACCCTATGGTGGAACATTATGTATCTAACCAAGCAGTCAGGGCCAGTTAGAGTTCATTATAAAGATAGGGCATGAAGTCAGCATTTCCTGAGTCTTGACTTGTTTAAAGAAATTGCTGTCCTTGCTGACAGAGTTGATGATTTATTCTACAGGTGTTTAGTTAGATATCCAAGTGCAATTCTGTGGGTTTAGCAGCCACCGTGAACGGTAAATGAGAAGTGAGATTCAGCCCATGGTAAAGTGTAACGTACATAACCTCACTGCTGAAGCTTCACATCTGATAAACAGGGATTTCTAGATAAAGGAATTTGCACCTGACAATTAAGAAATCAACAAAACAATGGAAAGTAGTTTCTTAATGGGAGCTTTTTAAAAGTTTAGAAACTCAATCTCAGCTTCTCCGATCTCAGGAAACTTTTGAAATTCTTTGAGCCAACCCTTACAGATAATTAATGCCTACAATAAATGGCAATAAAGACTTCAGAATATTGCCATCACTTTTGTTTCAGTTATTTCAGAGGAAGAGATTTATGGAATAGGAAAGGTCAAGCTTTGAAAGACGTATTCAGTTAATAGAGCGACATAAGATAACAAAAGCAGATGAAAGAAATCAGTTACTTGAACATCCTGGATTTGCACTTTCAGGTGTTTCCTCTTCTGTAAAGAATAAAAACAAGAATTAAAAGCTGGAAAAGCAGTTTATAGCTATAAAACAAGGCCTATGGAAATATAAATGGAAATACTACATTTCCATTGTAAGGGCACAAAATATAGTGGTAGACAGATGAAATGTACTACATAACAAGGTTTACTTTAAATTTTTAGTCTATTTGAGCGCACAAAAATACTGCATAATGGATAAATGGCTATATTTTGCTTTTTGTACATTTAAAAAAGGACAACTTTGACGATTAATACTAGAATTCTCTGCTATTAAATCTTTTCTCAATATTGAGAGTTCATTCTTTGAAGGAAAAGAACACTGATTGGAAGCCTATTCAAGTTAGGAAGAATCATTTGTTCCAATCTGTCTTAGGTATGTCCTGTATGACTCTATTTAAAACAAAATAAAATAAAATAAAATAAAATCTAGTAAATTTGCTGCATTCATTTGATGCTATGTCATTCTTTGGGATATCACACATGAATGCCAGCACTTTTCACAATATTCTCTGCACACTTTTCAAGTTTTCATTCTGGGAATTCTAAGGTTGTCCACTCTACAGAAATAGTGTGTTACATTAGTTACAGTAACAGCAATAGCAACAGTAAAACTACACGTTATTAATTAATACATTAAAACATTATTAATAACCATTAGAAACAAGTGCATCCTTTAAAATTGTATAACATCAGTCAACAACAGAATATTAGTTCAACAAAGGTGTATTTATGATGAATTTGATCTGCATATAAAACCAGACCTGCCTAACTGGCCCCAGACTCACTTTCCTCCTTAAGGTTCCTGAAGTCTTAAGTAACACTACAGTGTTGTATTCTAAAAAGCCACTTCTTGGGAAGCAAGGATAGCTCACAATCCACAGCACCATATTGATCTAGGCTGTCTTTTCTGGTCTTAGGGAAAAAGCCTCTACTTGCCTACTTCTTTTACTACTACTACCGATGACGATGTCCCTTTAACACAAAATTGTATTTCAAATGTCAGTACTGCCTGCCAAATACATTTTGCTTTATTGCTCTCCATCTTCACATTTGCCGCAAAATAGGTTAGCAACAGCTGGGATAAATCTGTATCATTATCTCCAAACTACAGTATCTCCATGGGGGTGTAGAAGGACAGCATTACAGAGAAACAATTAGGCCAAAATATGTGAATTCCTTACAAGTTGCAAAATACACTAAATCTGATCAAAAGACACCAGGCGACATTTGTGACTTCTTCTCCGTTGGCATCTCCTATGATTGCCCAGTCCTACAAAGGGAAGGGATGATATCTTTGCCACTTGCCCTAATTCTATAAGCCATTGTCCTGTTGATTTTTGCATAATTGTTGTTTTAACAGGGTTCATAAATAAAGCAGCAAAAAGCACTAACAGAAAAGGCAGTACTTACGTGTGAGAACACCACTGCTGAGCAGCAGCAAGAGCAGCAAGAGCTGCACAGGGCCCATGGTGAGCCCCGAACCCTCTTGCTGCTCGCTCTATTCCTCTGTTTTTCCTTCCCTCCCCTCTTCACCTCTTCCCTACCGCCTCAGAGGGAGAATGAGCCTTCTGACTTGGACCTCCATTTATATAGTCTGCAGCAAGCAGCTGAGGCAAACGCTTTAGAAAGCTCAGAGCAAATTGCCAAAGGTCCAAAGGTGAGAGTCCCAGATCCTCACTGCGCTCCAGACAATGCTCTGCTTTGGTTGCTGGGAGTCCCTGAAGGCAGAAGACTGAGCATATACTGGAGATAAGTCACTCTTCCAGCTCCGTGGTTTTTTTCTTTAACAGAGTTTTAAAAGCAAAATCCCTCTGCTACAGACTCTAACAATGCATTCAAATAAATTTCCCATGTCTACATAGGAACGATTACAATGCATAAATTATAGCTGGAAGAAACGATCACTGCAGCATGCTTTCAGTATAGACGTTGAGAGGTTTAAGGGTATGAGTACTTCAGAAAATGAGAGTATTGTGCAATTTGGACATCTTCCCTTTACAGGCAGGAGAATAAAAGTTGAAGATTTTTTTCCTTTGTTGTACTAAAATTTGTCATATACCTTTCTAAAAATAATTCTACATTTACTTGCAAACTTCTCGTAAATCAGGTCATGTTCATGTTGAAAGTAAGCTTTGTATAATTCTTTTGTTTCCTTATTTTTAGATTCAATTTCTTTTGTTTGCTAATAATAGCAAAAATATAAGAAAATAAGATGATAAAATTTATCTGAATGAAGAAGATAAACCTGGTTAAAATACAAAACAACAAAAAACCTTTTTATGAATATGTATATTGGTAAAAAAGACTGGGTTTATGTCATGAGAAATTCTAGTAGTTTGAATTCTTTCTCTACTCATATCTATCAAAGCTAAGTGCAGTAAAAAAAAATTGACTATGGAAATAGTTAAGAACATTTTGTTCAGTAAATTTAATTTTCACATATCTGATCAAACGGAAATGTTTTGACATTCCCAAATCAAAATATTTCCTCTTAGCTTGTTGAATCAAAAATCAAATTTTGGCTTAGCTAAGCGGTAATTTCTTTTCCCTTGAAATATTACCATGTTACCATGCATCATGGTAGTTATCTTTAAAGTCTCTTATTTCTTCATACCCTTTCTCTCTTGGACTTCATAGCTGGGTTACATTTCCCAGGATGCACTATGATCATGTCACTCCTAACATCAGTTCAACCAAATGGTAAGCACTGATGTACGATGGGGCGTACTTTCCAGTAAGGGAGACATCTTCCTTGTAATTAGGATTTTGTCTGATGACATTAACAAGAGCATGCCATTTCAGAGAGATTTCTTGCAGAAATTTCTTTGGTGGAGTCATCAGTATCGGAGGCATCACGAAGAAAGCATTTCTTAGATTTTTCCGTTTCAGTTTCTGTCCTTGCCTTATACCAATCACAGATACAATAAAACAACTAATAGGAGATTATTATTTTTCACTTCCAAAAAGAAACATAGGTTTTTGTTTACTTTTGTGTCCACAGCTGCCTCAATGTGTTGTGATATGTAACAATGATTTTACTTTGTAGTATGATTCCACCAAAGAGACTGTACAAAAATATCATATTTTTGCCCACAGCATTTGGTCCCTTTCTGCATTCAAACATCAAGAGGTTTTGACTATCACTTAAAATCTATTTATTTGTTCACTTTAGCACTGCAGATAAATAGAGCCCAGCTGGAGCGCCCAGCATTCAGAGATTTGTTAGCTATTTCCCTATTTTGCCTGGGTCTCCTCACTGCCTTCAGGTGGTTATTTGGACTCAAGCTGAGGCTGAATGATTGTATTAATATGACATTGCATGGACATAAACAGATTACAGAAGTTATGACTCAGCCCATAAACATGCAGGTGACATGTGTGTACCACTCTACTGTGACAGGTTTATATTGCTGTATTACCTAGTCAAGGCACAGCATTTTTTTCACAACAGATGCCACAAAATGCCACACGCTACTTTTATCTATTCAATCATCAAGGAATCCCCATGCTTTCAGCTCATTGGAAGAAGTCAATGTTCACATGGAGTTAGACAACATAAAGTTCTTATTTCAGCTATTTCTGTGAAATTGTGGGCTTTGACCTCAGGACACAGTTTATCTTCCAGACCAATCTGTTTTAAATCGTATTACCTCATTTCATTCTTTGTGTTTCTCGATTACTTTTGGTTAAGTCCCACTCTCCTCTGAGTGCATCCCTTGGAAATGAAATGAAGACTTTGGAGATGGAAACATTCTGAAGCCCAGTGACTATCGCAGGTCTTACTTCTTTGCATCTTTTGCACTCTATATGACAAAGACAGGCAGAGAGTATTGGTGCAGATTTGAAAAGAGAAATGATGACAGAAACACCAAACTTTACTCCCTGATGTTCTACACTGGAAGTAGCTCCAATCTTTGGTATATGCTGTATATCTCTAATCTGCACAGATTTGGTCCTGATCTAAAAACCAAACACCTACATGGAAGTTCTCCAGCTGTCTTTGGATCAAGCCATCTGAGGTGAGTGCTATGTTTAATGTTGCTTTTCCCTTAAGAATTTTTTTTTTCCTTTAGTCCACATTACTCAGAAATAGGGACAGTTTGGACTGTGGTGCTTACCATGGTAAGGTAGCATTGTTGAAGCACTAGGTACTGCCAGAGACCATTAAGTTTGTTCACCATTCCCTTCAAAAAACTTAAATACCAATATTAAAAATTATTAAAAAAAAAATGATGAAATTATATTTAGAAAGGGACTATTTCTGGACATTTCACATCTTTTTTCTTAGGAGAACCTAGTAAGGGGCCAATTCGCTAAAGGAGATAGAAATGTCATCAGCATCTGGTAACTAACCATTACTGAAATGAAGTTTCATGGCTTACTGAGAAAAATGCAGGGCATTTATTAATGCTGATGAAATAAGCTAGCTGGAGCTGTCATATTCATTTCACGAATTTTGCCAATTATGTCTTCTTTCCTAAAAATCTTGCCATTGGTTTAGGATGTTCTGCGTGTTCATACGTTGGTACTACCTAAAAATGAAAAACATAGAACACACAGAGATTCTTTGTAGAACACAGAGTAAGTGCAGTTCATATATGTAAAGAACGACTGACAAACTGAAGGTGTCACATGTACATGCATGGACTGAGTGTCCACTACTTCATGCACTTATCAGACATACTGCGTACAGACTGAATCAATGGTTTATGAAATGTTGGAAGTATGACAATACTTCCGATATGCTGAATTAATTTTGTATGGAGAGATAATTTGTGCATAGGTATTACGGATATGGAAAATCTCTGACATATTATGGAAGCCTTAGCAATCGTAGAATTGTAGAATAAACTTGGTTTGAAAGGAATCTGTAAAAGTCATCTAGTCCAACCCCATACTCAAAACAGATCTTACTAGATCAGGATGCTCTGGGCCTTGTACAGTGGAGTCCAATCAGATGATGAAGGCATGATCATTTGATGTTCTATCCTTCATGGACTTCAGTCTAGCTGCAGTATTAACATGCTACTGCCTCCTCACACGTACATGAAGAAGTCATGTATTTGGGTGCATTACTGTACTCTAAATGACTGAACAGCTGCATTTCCATTGGAACTACAGCACTTACTTGAGAAGTAGATGACCAAGTTTCCTGCTTTGCTATCATGAGAGAGGGTTCGATCCTATGTATGTGTCCTATGTATAAGGCTACATGTAATTCTGGTTGGGAGCAGCCTTTCTGATGAACCTGGACTACTACGTAGCCACGATTTGAAGTTTATAGAGCCAGAAAATTGAACAAGTAAATAATGAAACAACTCCTGTGCATGTTGGGAGTACGAAGTCCTAGCTTCAGCTATGTATGTATTGCACATGTGGATTAAATGCAAACATAACACATGTAGCAGGGACGAGCGCTCAGGACTGAGTACAGGTATTGCTTACTTTCAAACTGCTTAAACTCTCACTCATAAGCCATGGCACATCACACACATATCACTTATAACGAAAATGGATTTGATGGTCACAGTCACCTGCAGAATCTAGAAGAGCTAAGGAAACTGAGCACTGTAAATTAATGCCAGCATATAGCTGGGAGTCAGCACGTGAAAGCATTTTTAATAGCTCCTATTCCATAACACGTGCTATGATGTCCTGTATTTATGGTACATATGGCATGTCTTGATGGCCTCCACAGTACTGTAGAGGTACATTCACTGATCCCTTTCTTTTCAGTATAAACGTATGCACCTTTGTAACATTTCTTCTGTTGTATTTAGGGATTGTCATATGAATACCATTGAAGAGAAAACCCATCTAACACTCAAACTTTAACTGAGCCTCTCAAACTGATAGGATTTGGGCTTCGAATTTGTTTCTTAGCCATACTGTGCACTAACGCTTTATTTTTCGAAAAGTCTTAGTTGTAGGAGTTCTCCTGACATTCAGAGTCTAGATTCGATTCTGGAAACAACAATTTATTTTATCAAATTTTGTCTTCAGACTTCACTTCACTAGACTTTTTTCCACAGCTGCACAGAGGAAGCTGCATCAAATCACTCACCTGAAACTGAACCCCCTCCTTCCTACACTTGTCTTTTCCAGTGAGAAACCGGTTTTGCCATGTCTGTTTTGGCAATGCCAACAATGGCTTTGCTAATACAAATACAAATACAGAAAATCCATTAACCTTTAATTATATATTCTATAGTTATATAT